TTATCAGTATCTTCCTTCCTTCGTCCTGCGCCTGCCTTGTTTTCCCCAGCTGAGTGAAAACGCCACCGCTCAATCCACAGCTGGGTTTTATTGCTGCTGCTTCCAAAATGGATCCTGAAAGCTGTCCAGTTCTCTCCATTCTTCCCACTTGATTCCCAGCCACCGTCATCTCTTTCCTGCACCCCTGCAGCAGCCCCCCGTTTAGCCTCCTGCTTCACTGTTGTTGTTTTTTTAGAGATTGGGTCTTGCTCTGTCACCCAGGCTGGGGTGCAGTGGGCAATCATAGCTCACTGCAGCCTTGAACTCCTGGGCTCAATCAATCCTCCTGCCTCAACCTCCCAAGTAGCTGGGACTACAGTCATGCGCCACCACACCTGGCTAATTTTTCTTGTTTTTGTACAGATGGGGTCTTGCTATGTTGCCCAGGCTGGTCTCAAACTCCTGGCCTCAAGTGATCCTCCTGCCTTGGGCTCCCAAGGCACTGGGATTACATGCGAGCCACTACCACGCATGGGCTCCTGCTTCATTCTTGCACCCTCCCAGTCCTTCTCCACACAGCACTCACGGATCTTGAAACACAGACAATCCCGTCCTGTTAGTGTACTGCTTAGCATCCTTCAGGCTGCCCCCTGAGCTTAGAATGCAGCAGAGCCCTCTCGTCACACCATGGCACAGCGGCCCTGCCTGACAGGGGGCTGGGCCTACCTGTCCTCCCTCATCCTCTGCCACTGTCCCTCCTGCCTGCCATGCTCCCACCACAGTGCTCTTCGTTGCTTCCACATGAGCCTTCCTGCCTCAGGGCCTTTGAACATTCAGTTTCCTTGTTTGGAACACCCTTCCTCCCACTTGTTACCTGACAAATGCATGCTCATCCTTCGGTCTCAGCTCAGTTGTCAGGTCCTCAGGGAAACCTAGTCCACACTCTGTCCCCTGACCTAAATCTGGTTCCCTCATTTCTCTCTCTCACAACTTAGCACATTCTTCACAGGCTTATCACATCGCTAAGAGTGTATTTGCCTGCAGGCTAACTGGTTCGCTACATTGTCAGCATGCCACGGCTCAGGCCTCAGCCCTCTTCTCTCTCTATTTTATCCCCCAAGTCAGTGGTTCCCAACCAGCAGCAGGGGGTAGGGGTGGAGAATGAGGGAGGATGATTTTGTTCCCCAGGGGATATTTGGACATGTTTGGAGACATTTGTCATTGTCACAATTTGGGTGGGAAGGGAGTGCTCCTGGCATCCAGTAGGTGGAAGCCAGGGAGGCTACTGAAATCCTATATCGTGCAGGACAGCCCCCCACAACAAAGAATTATCCCACCCCAAAATGTCAGTAGTGGGGAGGCTGAGAAACCGTGCCCTAGGTGGTTTCATGGACTCTCGTTGTTTGAAATACCGTTTATATGGAGGCAACTTCCAAATTTCTCTCTCCAGCCCAGGTCTCTACCCGGAACTCCAGACTCCTACTGCCAACTTAGCGGCAGGAGCTGTTAACTGCCTACTTGACCTCTCACTCCCTGCAGGTCTCGGTGTGAAGGGCACCTTCCCTGACCACCCTATATAAAACAGCAACCCCTCCTACCTCAAACTCCATGGCCTCCTTACCCTGTTTTACTTTTGTCGGGAGGACTTATTACCACTGACATACTGCATATTTATTTCTTTATCTGTTAACTACCTGTCTCCCCTCTCTAGAATGTAAGCAGGGAATAATATCTGTTTCATTTGCTGTTGTATACTCTGCTCAACACAGTGCTTGGTGCACAGCAGGGAACGAAAGAACATTACCGCCAGTTCAACACATGAGAAACCAGGGCTCGGAGGCTTTAAGTAGCTCATCCAAACCGAGCCCACAGAGCCATGGGGATTCCCACCAGCCCAGACCTGTTGGCTACCTCCCTACCCCTTCCCCAGAGGAAGGGAGAGGATGTTTAGGAGTGAGGAGATGGTGGTTTGGGCAGGGGAGTGGAGTGTAGCGTCCCATAAGAGGGGACCCTGGGCCAGAAGAGACATTGAGGGTTGGTGGGGAAAGATGTCTGAATGGGCAGAGGCCTCCTGAGGCCACCCTTGTGGGCATCCCAGGTCTAAGAATCCTGCACTGGAAAGAGGTCAGCTTGGCTGGTGAACCTGCCAGTTCCCCCAGGCACCAGCCTCTGGCTACCTGTGGCCCAGGGCAAGGCAGGGGAGCCACACCCTGCCCCGGGCCACCGCCCCGAGGATGCCAACGAAGCAGCTCCCAGCCCCTGGCTCCAGAGGTCAGTTTGTAGGTTCCCCAGAGAGAGGGAGCCGGGCTGGGAGGGGCACGTCTCCACCCACCCTAGCCTGCACCGCCATGGCAGCCCCGCTCCCTCCAAGCACCGGTCTTTCCACTCACTCTGCCACTCGGTGATGGAGATCATGCTGCTCTCTGCCTGGGGGGCCTTCCGGCTCAACGCTGGCGGGCGGGGAGCGGCCAAGGGGACCCAGCCTGTACATGGTCTTGGGAAGCTGACCCTTGGTAAGTTGTGAAATGAGCCTCCGGTAAATCATTAACTCCCCCTCCAATCCCCGCCCCAACACACAAATGGCCCCTTAAAGTCACAGGCTCCCTCCTCCAGTTCTTCCCAGAGGGTACTGCTCCCTCCACACGCCCCAACCCCCAGACAAGGCAGTGCCTGCCTGACCCTGTCCACGCACCCCCATGCCCTGAGGCTGAGCTCAGGGGCTCCCATGTCCTCGACAAAACCCAGATTGTATATGGGAGAATGGGGGTCCACGTGCCCAGGTCCCTGGGGGTGGCCAGCCTCCTTGCTTGGTTTGGCGGAGGGTGTGGGAAGAGTTGGAATCTGTGTATCTCTTTGGAAATTTACTAAATTCATCTTGAGAGTCAAATTTTTGTTATTACACATGCTGGACGGTAGGGGGCGATGAGCAACTGAGTCAAACCCATTGCTGACCTAATGGCTGAGCTGGATTCGTTTAAATCAAGGGCAAAAGTGCCACACGGGAGTTAGACACAGGGCTTCGATCTCCTTTGCCCCAGCGGTGTCCAGCTTTGGACTGTGAGGTTGAGCTATGGAAGACAAAGCCTTGAATTTGGGCTTAGAGTAGGGCTGGATGACGCAGGCCTAGTCCGTTCTAGTCAGCGCACCAGCTGTGTAGACGTGGGTGCATCCTGACCTCCTCTGTGGGGAAAGGAGGGGGCAGACAGCCCCAATATCCCTTTTCTCACTGCGAGCGGTGGTTCTCCACATTGCGAGAGCAGCGTCCCCTTTGTAATGTCTCCTCCACCCAGAAGTGAAGTCCATAGATGGTAGGACTAATCTACACACATCATTTTAAAAACTCAAATAAAGCTAACTATAATAAAGCAACAAAGAATAATTTATAATAAAACACATGTCTCATAATGCAGAAATGCTCAGAGAAGACTTACCAGAAGACGTAAGTACAGTGGATTGCCTGCACCTACGTGTAATGCTTAAATTTGAATGGAAGACTAGAGCCGATCTATGCAAAAACAAAACCAAAACCACACAGGTGCAAGAGAACAAGAGGAGGTGGGAGTGAACACTAGAATAAAAGCTGTCCGGGAAGTAATAACAGACCAGATGTACTTGTATACGATAAGAGAAAGAGGGAAATCGCCTTAATTGAAATAGGGATGGCGTAGCGGGGCAGACTGGAGAACGCAGGGTGGAAGTAATGAAGTATGGCGCATGCAAAGGAAAGGGTTTCATGGACGCATGTGTTGTCAGAATGGCTCCCACAGAACCGGGTCGTGATGGAATATCACAGGCACATAGATCCCTGTCATGAGCTGCCATCACAAGTTGAGGCAAAAGTCTGTCTCCAGGACCTTAAACGGCCTTGGAGATCATGTATTTCCAGTGGGCAATGGGGGGTGGAGGATGGATTGGGAAGAGAAAGGGTGTTGGCCGCAGTTTAGCGCAATTGCGTCTGGGCCCTGGGAAAACGGCCGGCAACTCCCCTAACATTTCCACGTCACCGTTACAACACAGGTATTCATCCCGGGGCTGCAGAAAACTTTAAAATATAAAGGATGGCAATAATATTTCTAAAAACTTCTATTAAGGAGATCCAAGGAGATCGCCTGCATTTCAGGTATCTCTGCTTTAATGGTGTTTGGTTCTGTCAAATCTCTTAAGTATTTTCAGCCTCTGCTGATTCAGGAATACTCTACTGATTGGAACTATTTCCAATCAAATATGTACTAGTTTAAATCTTATAATACACAGTGTAGACAATGCATGGAATAGATTATTCAATAATTTTGAGACAATGTCTTTATTCCATTTAAGTTTCTTCTCCATAATAACCATCGCCTAACTTCCTGAGTTATTCATGAAATTTGTCTCTAAAAGCTTATAAAAACTGTTTACTGTTATTATGAGTTGAAGTCCGACCAACCTGTGCTGGTTGTGGGCTTGTTCCTGTGGCGCGTCTTAAAGCTGTGCAGGATATGGGATAATCCTTTGTTTTGGAAATCTGTCCCGTTCATTGCACTCATTAAATGCCAGTGAGAGTTGTGTCCCCTTGTCATGGAGACAACCTAATACCCCCTAGGGACAGTCTCATCCCCAGTGAAAACACTGGTAGGTTAAGAGCTTGGGCTCTAAAGTTAAAGAGCCCTGGGCTCTGTCCTAGCTCAGGAGACCTGAGGCATTTTATTCATGCTTTCTGTGCCTCAGCTTCTTGGATAATAATAGTCCCTACCGTATAGAGATAGTGTGAAGATTAGAGAGTCAATCCAGGGGAAGTGGGTACCTGGTGAGTGGTTAGCACTTAATGAGCCATTGTTATTACTGTTACTACCCTTGTATAGTTATAACAATTATTATTGCTATTATTAATATTGTTATTAGTATACTATTAATATGCTGTAGTATGAAAGACTTCTGCTGTCATCTCAAATTGTGGTTCTAAACTGCTCCCCCAGGTGTATAACCCAGCACCCCCCACCCCCAGCCTTGGAACCCATCTGTGAGCCAGGAGAACTGAAATCTCATGGAACTGGGCCCTGCTGGCCTGGTTCTCTGGGTACTGGAGCTGAGCCCAGAGGGGCTGTCCATCGTCCACCCTCCCGGTGAGGGACCCTTTACGGGGACAACTCTAGGACGGAGGACGGAGGCCCTGGAAGGCTGGGACTGGTCCTCACCTTGGCAGTCTCGTGGGGTAGGGGTAGTGCCTCCCTGGGGCTGGCGGCACAGGGCTGGGCAGGGGAAGGACTCCTTGGGGGCTGGACGGCAAGGCCCCTGGCAATGTCTCCAGTGACAGTGATGGAACTGGTGCAGGAGGAGGCCTGGAGAACCTTCTCCCTCTCCCCTCATTGTGCTCCTGCATGTGGCCAGGGAGCCCTCACGACATCACCCCCACTTCCTCACATTTGGAAATGAATTCAAGTTTTCCAAGTGTTTTTCATCCATCTTCTCATTTGCCTTTCTTGAGAGCTCCATAGATGGCGGCTCATATCCCCAGTTTATAGACAAGAAAACGGACACTCGGAATTGTAGTGACTCGTCCAATCTTCATGTAGCTATCGGTAGCCAGGAGCAGGGCTGGGAGCTGAGCGCAGCACACCGCCTTCTCTCACGGTGGTCTCGGTAACGCTGTGAGCTCACCTGGAGGCTCAGGATGGGGTGGGGAGGGGTCTGGCGTGGCCCGGTGCCCTGGCAGCAGCAGGGTCTGAAGCTAGGCTGCCTGCCTGGCCTCACCAGGCCTCTGTTCAAGAATGACTACGTGATTGCACAGTTACACAGCACCGCTCCTTAAAGAACATCCTGCCTGTTGCTTTTCATTTGTGTTTCTCAATTACTGTTCCCTTTTCCAAACCCACACCTGGCCTGATCAGGGGGTTAATCTGGGCTGGGAGGTGGAGTGGGCAGGCACCCGTTGCCGTTGTCCTTGGAGAGGAGGAGCCAGCCCTAGGTCGTGGACACAATGACGCCATGGTGCTCTGTGGTCTCACATTCTGCCTCCTCTACAAGGCCCTGCTTGGCTCTGGCCCAGATGGAGGCTAGAGGTAAAGGCTCAGCCTCCAGAAAGTGACATGTTCTCCAAGACACCTTCCCCTGCCTCACGGGTCTCTGTCTTGGGCCCAGATCTAGTCCCAACTCTCCCTGGTTCACAAAGGACATCAGGGTTTATAGCTTTCCTGGGGAAGTTACAAAATCCAAAATCAAGTCCTGTTTAAAAAACGACCCCTACTCTGCTAGCCCTTAGAAATGAGAACAGGTGTCCAGAATTTAGCGTCCGCTATCAAAGCCGAACCGATGCAAAATCAGGAATTGAAGCAAGCTTGCTTTCTCGTCTCCCCTTCTCAGTTTTCTTTTTTTCTTGAACACCCCTCCCTCCGACAACCTGCAGAAGCCCAGCTGAGGGCTGCCACTAACGCGGGCTCGCCTTTCCTCCCCACGACCCAGCCCGTGGAATTTACAGGGCTTCCCGACTCTTACTCCTCACAGAGATTTCAAGTTGAAAAGCCCTGGTAAAGTCCTTCACACTGAGTGCCCGTAACTGATAACCACTAAACACCCGCCAAGAGAAATAAACCAAAGGGACGGAGGCTGAATGAGAATTGGGGTGGTCGTTCTGGTACTTCCCACCAAATCACACACCTTCTTGTGAAGCAGAACCAGGAATAGCTAGGAAATCATTTCCTCTTCCTACCACCCCACGCTCTGTCTCAGAGGCAAACCAAGGGGACTGTGGCAGGGCCCAAAGCACCTGATACTTACATTGTGCGGGAGCTCAGGGCTGAAAGGGCGGCCCTGGTGTTGGTCGCCCACCCCAGCCCCCAGCTCGTGGGGAGGGGCCGGCAGCACAGGCTGAGGCACGAGAGGGGAGGGGTGATACGATTTGTACCCAGCCCGGCCCCTCAAACCCCCTCCCGCTTTCCTGCCGAGCCTGTAAGTTGTCATGGACCCTAAAGGCAGCCATGGACGTGGAGTGGGAGACACACACCGCATGTACAAACCATTCATTTTATTTCCTGTATTGGGTTTATACAAACTTGCAAGATACAAATGCAGAACTCACTGGGATTCTTCAGTTACCTAAATCTAAAACCGCTGCTGAGAGGGGAAAGCAAACTCTCACCTGCGTCACCCAGGTGTGTCTCCTCCCCGGGGAGGGGTCGATGGCTGGAAAGATGCTAAGGGGAATCTACAGCTGTTTGGTCCCCCAGCAGAGATGCCCTCTGTCTATTTAACCTTAGCTCTCCTTCTAAGGTCACTTTTACACTAAATAAAGATACTGAGAGCATAAATTTCCTCGTATGGTTTATTGTCTAATACTAGCAAATCAAATTGGCCCCAATATGTGCATAAATAGATACGTGTATATATATAATATTTTTCCTTAGTCTTAAGAGCTGCCAGGTGGAGGGTGCTGGACGGGGAAAGGAATTGCTTCCCTCTTGCTGTGGTCAGCCTGCCCCAAGAACACGCCTCTCGCGAAGGCGGGAGAGCCAGCGCGCAGCCTGTGACCGCGGAGCATCTTTAAGGTGACAGTAGCAGCATTTGATCGCAGCCCCTTGGTTACTGATCGGGGAGGTGATGTGTGGGTCAGGAGGCCCTGGATGAATAGCCAGGCCTCCCCAGTGCGTTACTCAGCCCCGGGCCCCCACCTGGGCCCTTTCATTCACAGCAAGGTGCCCTAGACTGGGAACACGGTGCCAACCAATGCCGGCCCGGAGCTCTGTGCTAAAACTCTCAATTTCAGATCTGGACAAAGACTTCCATCCTGCCCAAACCCTTGCCTACCACGACGGTTGCTGAGCCGTTTGGAAGGCTGAGCTGGCTTAGTCCAGCGCACCTGGCAGCTGCCTGCCAGAACACAGTCCCGAGGGCTTCTTGGGCAAGGCTGAGATGTCTCATCGTCTGTAGGACCCTCCTCGGCTCAGAAGCTGATTTCATAGTCCGGATGCCAGACCGAGGCACCGTCCACTTAAGAACACCCCCAGACCAAGGTACAAGGTCACAGAGGGAGACAGATGCCCTAGATGTGACCCAGACCAGAGAGGGAGGGACCAAGTGAAAAAGAATGAGAAGCCCAAAGAACTGTGTGTTGGCACTAAAGGACCAGAGAGGGGACAGAGACTCCCGAGCTACCTCTGGGCTCTGCACCATCTCTTGGGTCCATCAAGGACATCCTTAGTGCTGCCATTAGACCGCTCGCCCTTTCCGGCAGGCTGAGGAAGAGGGGCGGCCCAGAGCCCGCCTGGGGAACGTGTGTGTCTGCACGGGCGTCCTCTGTGCGCACAACCATACACAGTTCCTTCAAGAGGATTCACATTTGACGACCCTCAGAGGGTCATCAGGAGCTGACAGTATCATCAGATCCTTAGACCAGGACTTCCAAGGGAACACCCTGCCCCGGCAAGATGCTCTCCAGGGGAGCTTGGGGTACCAGTCCTTTGCCAACCGGGGAATGGGAGGGAAGGCAGGCGTTGGAGCAGAGGGCAGGGCGCAGGGCTGGGACCCAGAGGCAGCTGCCCTGGTCTCCTCACATCCTTTGCCAATTCCATTCCAACATTAACACTTTGAAAATAGATTTGCTTTTGTAACAAAAGCATAAAATAGATCTGTCTTAAAATAAGTCTTTCCTCTCCCTTCTTTGGATTAAAAAGGCAAGGGGTATGGCCTGGATACGCCAGGAATGGCATGGAAAATAGGGGAGAGGAAACAGGCCTGGGCGGGAGCTGTAGGAAAGGATCAGACGTTACAAACAAATATATATATTACATATATATCTATAATATGTATAATCTCCAGAAAACATATATTAAGGCATGTAAAGCAACATAAAGAGCCAGCTTTATGAAATAAGAGATGGCAGAGAGGTGGCAGAGGCGCAGACACTATTTCTTGGTATTTTACATGTATTTCTAAAAATATTACTTAAAAAAAGGAGAGACAGAGAAAGGGGCAGGCACGGAAGGCCCCGAAAACTCTGTTTCTTGTGGAGGAGAAAGGTGTGGGGAAGGAGGGAGAGAGGGCGACCTGGGAGCCAGTCCCACCTGCCAGTGTGCGGAAGAGAAAGGACGGATATGGGTGCGGACGCTGGGAAGATGGCAGATGTAGCCAAAGGTCACGTCCAGGAAACCTGCTAGAAGTGGAGATTGGTGGAATCCTCCCGGTGCGTAATCCCTCAGCAGCACGAGTATATCCTAAGCACCTACAACAGTGCCCGACACATAAAAGGTGCTGATAAATATTTGTTGAGTGAATTCTCATCTTTACTTGCATATGAACCAGTAACTGTCCCAGCCACGAAGGAGTGGAGTGGAATTGGTAGAAGATAAAGCAGTTGTTCTTGGGGACCACTCGAGGTCAGGCTGAAGTCTCTGGGCAGCAGCTCTGCAGTGAGCAGGCCTGGGGGCCCAGGCGTCCTCAGCTTCACTCTCCTCCCCCCTCTCTGGCTGCTGCGTGTCAAGGTGGGTGGGGCAGAGGCGGAGTGTACTTCGCTTTTCTGTCTCTCCCCCACCGGCCGCCCTGGGTGGGTTGACTGCGAGGGCGCCAAGCTTCAACTGGTCCTCACCTGGGATCCTGGGACGAGGGGTAGGGCCCTGGAATCTGAACTCCTAGATCAAGGGCTCATTCCCCCTCCCCGGGCACACTCTCAGCCGGCCCACTGCACATTCCAGAGGGAATGGGGCAAAAAAATCTCATGAAACTGGTTAGGTAAGGCCCCAAGGCTGACCAACCCTACATAAGCCAAGTTCTCCTCTCGCCCCTCACCCCAGGATGGGGACGCGGACGGCAGGCACAGACCCACAAAGAGCCTCTCCCAGGCTGTCGCCCCCCACCCCCTTCACTCCACACCTGGGTCCCCACACCAAGCACCTCCACCGAGGCCACCAGGGGCTCCACTGTGGGTCCTCCTGGGGGTGAGGTGGGGGGAGCAGAGGTGACAGTCTGGCACCGCACTGGGCACTAGCCTAAGGCTCCATCTGGGGACACCAATCCCACACCCTTTCCATTTTCTTCCTTCGCTCTACACTTGCCAACGTGTCCTGCTGCCTCCCCTCCGCCCACTCTCCAGGGATCTCTCCCCCTCTTTGCTCTGCTTCCAACCTGCCCTCAGACGCTGCGCAGACCTGCTGTTCTCTAGCCACAGCCAGCACTGTCCCCTCTGGGAGCTGAGAAGCTTCTCCTCACATCACCTTGTCTTTGGCTCAAGCAGGGTGGTCAGTCTCCACTGGACCCCAGAGGAGCACCCAGAGCAGAGATGGGCAAAGCCCTGGGTACGCGGGGGTGGCGGGGTGGGGCTGATGGGGAGGGGCCGACAGCAGGTGCTGTCCTTGGTGTCCAGTGGGCTCCAAGAAGCAGACTGTCCAGCTCCTCTTCACCCCTAGTCCTGGACTAAGATAGCCAAGGTGTGTTCCCCACCAGGGCACATTCTCCATCAAGGAATGTTCCAGTAGGGTCACCAGAAATCCAGCCAGAGCTCGGCTGAAGCGGTGACTTAGGCATTAGTGGGATGGCACTCCCCACCTGCCACCTCAGGTCCTGGCCTAGGACCACGGCATGAGTAGCGAGGGCTTCGGGACTGGGCGCAGGGGGTGTGTGGACACCGAGGCATCCACGCTCCTCTTGGCAGCAGCCCCTGGCCCCCAGCCGGGTTCCCTGCGACATTTCCACGGGAGCGCAGGGGCAGGGGGCCGGGGTGGGGAGCCAGGACCCCAGGTGGGTGGAGGACGGCTTCAGAATGTGGCCCTGTGGAGCTTCACAGCGCTGGCCTCAGCCAGGGCTTGCACTGCAGAAAAGAGAAATGAGGTGAGAACAGGGCCACGTGGAGCAGCGACTATTCCAGACACCTTCCCGGAAAGAGAAGTCTCATCCTGCAAAATCCTGGTGGGAAACCGCCCCCCTCCCCAACCCCGAGAGAGGGGAACGAAGGAGTAGAAGTCAGTGCACTGGCCTACTTGCCTGGCCGTGGGCAGCTGTGTGCTGGGGTAAGGGAAGGGCATACAGCCTTTGGCTATAGCTTTCCAGTGTTATTTTAATTTATGATAAGATCTGGGAGTGGACAAAGAGCTTCTGGGGGCTTCTGAGGGTCCTGCAGCAGGACGCTATGTACATCGACAGAGGGAAGCGTGCTGGCTGGCAGGAGGCACAGGAGTGGAGTGTCAGGGAAGTGCCTTCCCTGACGGCGGACAGGTGAGGGCTCAGCTCCATGCCCTGTCTGCTTTTGGAAAAGCAAAGGCCATGGGCTTCGCAACATCCAAGAAGCAGCCCTGCCGACCAGCTCCAGCCCAGCACTGCGTGGGGACGCTGGCGGGCTCAAGCGCATGGGTGGGAGGATGGATGGATGGTTGGATGGGTATATGGAGGCAGGGAGGGAGCGGGAGGAGCGGCACAGGCCACTGGGGTGGGGGAGAAGCAATGCCAGGATGGGAGGGCTGGATGGCTCAGTGGGGGTGGGGAGGGGTCCCACTTCCAGGGTGGATGAAATACAGTAGAAAAGTGCTTACGTCAGAACTCAGACCCGCATGGTATGGCTGCTGTCGGCGCCCCGTGGGGATTCAGACGAGAGGGGGTTGGCTGGTGGAGTCGGGGAGGCAGGGGAGGTGGGAGGGCTTGGGGTGGCACATTGCACTGGAAACAGAAATGAACAGGGAGGTGAATGGGGGCACCGGAGCAAGCGAGGCCCTCCTCAGGCAGGGAGCAAGGCGGGGAGGCAAGCAGAGAGGAGAGCGAGCTCGGGGCCTGCTCGAGCTAGGCCAAGCTGTCCTGTTCCCCCGGCACACGGAGGACAGTGTGAGGCCCAGGAGGAGACCTGGCCCAATCCAGGCTCTGCTGGGGACCAGTGTGACTGTGGGTGAGGCCAGGCCCCCTCCGGGCCAAGGCTCCCTCCCATCCACACGGCGGGAGGTTCACGGACCTCTCCGCTACCGTGCAGACAGAACAAGGGAGCAGCACTCTCGGTACAGTGGACATCGCCAATGATAATGATCAATAGTGCAGTAAAATCACACCAATCCAAATCATCAGGCCCCCATTTAATGAACAGATAGAAGTGAACTGACCACCATGTTAATCAATGCCATGAAAACAGTGGCTTCTGATAGACTTCAAGTGAGTTCTGTTAACCTGGACACAGCGGAGGGCTCAGAAATGCATTCCCTGCTGTCACCTAAGACTCCCTTCGCATCAATCCAGTGAAGGCAAACTTCAGCCCAACCCTGAACGAATCAATCGTTACAGCCTGAAAGTGGCGATATTTGAATTAATGAGATTTTACTCTATTATCATTATTATTCCGAGTTGAGAACAGCAAGTAGAAGGGCAATGAGCAGGGAGACACATCACTGGGGACAAGCTCTGCACAGTCCAGACCCTTGTGCATCCTCACTATGGCCGCGAGGCAGGAGGACGGCAGAGACAGCGTCCTCCCTCCGGCTGGGAGAAGAACCAGACCTCAGCCAGGCTCACACCGCGTTTCCACCGAGGGAGGGGTCCTGACATGGAACTTCCCGGTTCCTTGCCCTCACCTGATCACCTTCCCTGCCCTCTATGCAAGAGAAAGGGCCGACGTGGCCATTGTCGTCTGCGTATCTACAGACACCCACATGCGTACAGAACGCACGCAGCTCTGGCATGGACGCGGAGTTGTGTCTGCCTGCACACGGTACACAGTTTGTGCGTGGGATCTGCAGCACCATATCGTTACACTCACGGCACACAGCTTGCAGGACTGTGTGTGTTTGTGCACTTCCGAGCCTGTGCCCTTCCACGTGACCCAGTACACTTGCAACTTCACCGTGCGAAAGCATTCATAACCGCTCTCACACACACACTCGTGTGCATATCCGCATCACGGACCCGGTGGTTAGTTAGCATCTGGCAACCTCAGCTTCCAAAACAGTTGGAAAAACAAAAACGCAGCAAGGAACATCTCAAGGAAGCCAAAATAGATGTTGCAACCTACACGCAGCAAGGCTCTTGTCAGTTACTCAGAGAGCCCCTCCGAGTCCAGTTACTCGATTTATGCACAATTCTAATAGGTGTAGACTTGCTGGGTTTCTACCCCAAAGGATGTTAGAAACAGGAAAATTAGAAGGGAAGGAGGAATTGAGGCCCACTGACATCGACAGGAAGGCAGGACTGAAGAGAGAAAATCTTTTGTAAGAAGTAGACATAACAACTTTAAACGTATAACAGTTTAGGAACATTTAGTGTAGCTACAAACAGATCTGTGTCGATTGCAGCCCCTAAGGGCACCCCCTTAACAAAGGTCCGCAAAAATAAGGACACTTACAATGATACTAAATGAGTGAGAAAAGTTAATTATGTAAATAGAACCTCTTTAAGAAGGCAGAAAAATACTAAATCTATATTAGGAATATATCCATTGGAATAGTGGAAACTCACATACGTAGCAGATGTGCATTGGACGGATGTGGTGTTATAACATGGTCAGTCACAAGCACATCTGCACGCAGAAACAGCCAGTCGCATGCACTCATATTCACGATGCCGTGCTCTCTCGCATCCTGCAGACACACGGTCACAACTATCGCCGTATATACACTGTACGCAACATACACACTAATGTGCTTTATCATTCCCCATTCTGCAAAAAGCCATATATAAATATGTGCATTTGAAAACGCTACCTCCCTCACACGCTGTACACTCATATATCTTACATCTGTGCACCAACAGCTTACCGCCTGCCACCTGGACTCAGAAATAATAGGTCTCCACACAGCATCCTTGGACATTCTGCACGTGTGTGCACACGTATACATATTTCTGTATCTGCACTCAAACATTCTCTTCACCTCATTTCATAGTTGGATACACACAAATCGCCTGTATCTACAAACATTACCAGATACAGACACTGCACATGACAATCGTGCCGCACATACGTACTCGAAAATGCCACATCTTCCCACACACCACATAACCGAGTTTGCACGCATCAGGGGACTTACAAGCATTTCAACATTCGTCACTGATTACTCTATCCGTGCCACACACCCATACACGGGCGCTTAACGCTACATCCTGTACCCGTTACATGTTGCCCTTGTGACCTGTGCCCAGCACCCGCACTCACGGCATGCCGGGCGTGCACCTGTGCCCACGCTGCGTGCGCCCTAGCTGTGCTGGCGGAGTGTAGCTCTGGGGACCTGGGCCACGGGCCAGGGGTGGTGGGATCAGTGGCTAAGTCTGAGGTCTGGCCCTGCCACAGTCATTCTTTAAATAGTTGAGGTTTTGGCCAAAGCAAGGTGACCATCTGCTTGCAGCACACAGACCCTGAAATGTAAGCCCATGTGTATCTCGAGGGAAATCTGATCGGCTGGGTGGGTTTTGTTTTCATGGGACCCCCGGCTGGGGAACAGCCGTAGAGACAGCCAGGGGCTGGGGCGGGGGCAGAGCGGGAAGCTTTAAAACCAGCGCTGTGGCTCTAACCCCTTAAAACAGGAAGTTGCCCTTGGCCCAGAGCATGTGGAATTTGATCTTTGGAAGGTTCAAGTTCATTTTGCTGCTAAACTACAGGGAGGTTCAACAGAGGCCTCCTTCCCTGTGGCCAAACTGGTTCTGCTGCCTTTTGGCTGCAGGATGGGGCTCTCTGAAGCCATCCCTCTGTTCCCCTCAGTTCCAGCCCAAATGCCAGCCTCTCCCTCAAATACCTCCAGGGCTTTCCCTGGCCACCCATTCTAAAGTCCACTCTACCCTTTCAGTAGGTTCTTCCTTAAGGCTTGCTTAAATCCTTTTGGTTGTAGCCTAGAATCTTCTGGTTTCTAAAAATATCCATATTTGAAATAATTAGAAAAACAACAAATGGTTCCTATTTCTACTTCAGCTATTGCTATTTCAACTACTACTACCAGCATCACCAGCACTACTACTACTACGACCACTACCACCGCTCACAAGCATGTATTGAGCACTTACTGAATGCCAGGCACTGTGCTAGGGGCTTGGCACACGCCGTTTCTGATCCTCACACTGCCAGACCTGGAGGCAGGTATTTTGATTTGAATTTTACAGATGAGGACGTGGAGCCTCAGGGCACCAGAATTTGAACCCTCCTTAGTCACGGGCATGAAATGCCATCCCTTCCACTGTCTCACCTGCGTATCGCCTGACTCTCGCCCGGGCTGCTGTAACTATGGCCTGCACACCTGGTCTCTCTCTTCTGCCAAAGTCATCTTAAACCAGGGTTCCCTGTTGGGTCATTCCTCTTAGCTATGGCCTTGGCCTTCAGTGCTCTCAGTCTCATCCCACCTCTCCATCCTAACCACCCTTGGCTCGGTGAGGACGACAGTCTCTCAGGCTCCACGACTCACCCACTGTCTCTCCTCTACCTTTAACCGTCCCTCGTTCATACAGAGTCTCTTTCATTCTCCAAAGCTCAGCTACATTCTCGTCTACCCTGAGATGGTATCTCAGGCCGAGTAGAAGTTGATCCTCTTCACTTCAACCCCATCAGCATCTACTTGGGACCCACGAGTCTTTGTATCGGTGTGAAGTCAGTTCCTCACAGTCATCTTTTCTTAGCAGAAAAGCGTTAGCAGAAAAGGTTTGGGTCAGTAGCCAAGGCGGTGATTGTATCACTCTCAAATCTCTGGTTGCCTGCACGATGGGTTCTTTTAGTCTTCCTGTTGACGTGCAGCAAGAATGGGGAGTGCAGGAGTACCCTGGAACAGCTGGCCCTCTCTCCACAACCGGGAAATACTTTCATCTTTCCCAGTCCAGCTCAGTTCTCACCTTTCTCTGTGCCTTGCCCTGACCTGCCCGGGCGGTACGGCTGCCTGTGCTCCCTGCGTGGCCTCTGGCCATTCCTCCACAAAGCGGCTGTAAGGACCGTCGCCCAGCTCTGAGCTCCTGGATGTCAGCAACGCTGGCCCCTTTGCACCTCCCCGAGTCTAGCACAGTACCTGGCGCTCAATAAATGCTCACCTTGACCTTGAAGAGCACCCCCTTGGCCTTGTACCTCTCTGTCCCTGCCCCCCTCGCAGCAGCAGCACTGCGTGTCCTCCCCTACACCTGGTCGGCTGGTTTCCCTGGCAGGGCAGAGCGAGGCCCAGCCCCTCTCACCAGACAGCATGCGGCCCCTGCGGGAGGCCTCGGTCGCCAGGGCGCAGGAGATTTCAATCCGCTTCTCCTGCTCCTGCAGCTGGCTCTCAGAGTCCTGGGGCACGTCCACAGAGTCCCCCTCGCCGATGGGCACCACGTTCTGCATGCTGAAGAGGCACAGACACACAGACATGGAGGGAGGGACAGGATAGGCCAGCTGGCCTGGGGGGCCTGCGGACTGAGCTTGGCGGGGAGGGCCGGGGCCTGTGAGTGTGCGGTCTCTGGTTCCCAGCAAGGCTGTCCCCAGGAGTGAGTGGGACCCTGGCAAAACAGAGGTTGGGACCCCTACCCTCGATGTTTTCAAATGAATTAAAAGGTTCGAGTGAACATTTAGGGCAGCCTTGAAGGGGAAAAGAAGTCACCAGAGGGCGACCCTTCAGTTTTGTCTCGATGGTCTCATGTGCACGAGCTCAGCAGGTCCGTTTAGCACCAGGCGGCAGCATCCCTGCCCCTGCCGATGCCCGGGCCTGTCTGCTGTCTCCAGCCTCTGCTTCTTTGTGCTCTCCCCAGGGGGGCTCTGCGCCCCAACGACATCTAGTGGCCCAGGTGTCCCAGGTGCCGGGGCGGGCAGAGGAGGCGGAGGCTCGCCCAGGCCTGTTACCTGGATTTGGCGATGAGGGTCTTGATCCTCTCCACCTTCTTCTGCTTCTCCTTCAGCTCCTCAGGGCTCAGGGGCGTGTCGGGCTCCAGGTCGATGTACCGCTCGGGGATGAGGACTTTGTCCGGGGTGGAGAGCTGTGGCGGGAGCGAGGTCACCACCTGCGTCCCCTGCCAGGGTCTCCCCCACAGCCCCTCCTGGGCTCCGCTCACCTCCTTGTTGATGTCCACGTCGTAGTGCTGGGGCTCCAGCTCCATTTTGCGGAGCCGGGCAATTTCCTCCCGGGGCGTCTCGTAGGCCTGCGCCCCCGGCTCCTCTGCCCGCAGCGCTGCCTCCAGGTTGGAGATGTCCACCTCGTGGATGCTGCGGTGGCGGCGTACCTGGGGGACAGCACCGTCACGACCACAGCCCTGCTGGCCACGCCTCCAGGCAGCTTGACCACGCCCCTGTCCTCACTCTCCCTGCCGGGCACAGCTGCATGGCCGCCGCCCCATCGCTCCCACTGCGGGGCTGTCCTTCCATTCTCTGGCCCAAAGCCCGCTCCCTGCGCGCCCCAGACGTGAGATCTCATCAACGTCTCTGTCGATGCATGCGGCTCCCCGGCCTGCTCTGCCCTGCATCCACGTCCTGTGCCACGTCTGTTAGGCAGTTGAGTTTGCGTGTCTCCTATCGATTTCTAATGGTTTCGTATTCTAGAAGTTCCAGTCCATCAACTAAAAGGTAAACTGTTTGAGGGCAGGATTTAAGAGTCATAATTTTTCTGTATTTCTGAAATTTAATGGGAAGAAAAATTAAGCAGATGCCTTGGGCTACTCCCAGCTCTGCACTTCATAGTGGCCCAGGAATCCCTTCATTTCTCCCCACATTGTTCCCCTCTCTGTGAAAAAGGGGTAATAATCCTAACCCAATGCTGTTGAAAGGATTCAATGAGACGGCATGGAAAGGATCTGTGGGTGACACCGTGCCATGCAAGGGTGAGCTATCACGATTATCTTCGAAACAGCCAGCCCAGCGCTAGGCACTCAGAAGCTGCCCCAGAAACATGTATAAGTGATGGTTACTTCTACGGGGTGCATTTTGTACTGTTCTCTGTTAACTGAATTTTATGTAATTAATTTCAAAATAATCGAGGCATTCTTTTCTGTTAATTATTTTCTTTAAACCCCCAAAAGGAAGCATGTGTTGAAGTAGCTCTTCTGCCCAGCGGGGAGAAGTCTCCCTAGCTCTCCTCTCCCAGCTCCCCCTCAAACCACGCTGGCCCAGGCTGGCCATGCCCTGGCAGTGGGCAGCGCTGGCAGATGCCGGGCTCATGCTCGTGGGTGGCTGCGGGGACGTTACCACTTTGTAGGCGGGCCGAGGGCCGGGCTCCGGCGCCGGGCTGGCCGGGAGCTGCAGGCTCCTTCGCTTCTCCTTCATGGAGCCGCTCTGGTGTCTCCGCATCCGGTCGATCTGCTCCTCCACGCTCATCTTCACCTTGCCCTCGCCAGGGAACACGGCGCTCTTGGGGCGTTCCTGCGGCAGCGGGAAAGTGGGGTTCTGACGCGCGCTTCATCTCCCACCCGGCTTTTCCATTCCCTCTGAACCCTTCACGTTCACCTTCTGTGGGAAGTCTGCCTGCGGTGGGTGGAATCGTGGGCCCCCCAAAATGTGCCCGAGTCCTAACCCCTGGTACCTGTCAACGTAACCTTATTTGGAAATATGACATCATCCTAAATTAGAGTGGCCCTAAATCTAATAATGAGTGTCCTTATAAGAGGCAGAAAAGACAGCACGTAGAGTAGAAGTTGATGTGAAGATGGAGGCAGAGATCGGAGTGATCTGTCTACACAGAAAGGAAAGCCAAGGGTTGCCGGCAGTAACTACAGCGAGCAGGGAAGCATGGGACAGAGCCTCCCTCAGAGCCTCCAGAACAACTAACCCCCCAACACCCTGATTTGGGACTTTCGACCTCCACATCTATAAGAGCATAGTTTCTATGGTTTTAAGCCACCCAGTATGTGGTAATTTGTTACAGAAGTCCTAGGAAACTAATATAGATTTTGGTGCTGGGAGATGGGGTGCTAAAACAACAAATACCTAAAAGTGGGATAGAGACTTTGGAATTGAGTAATAGGTAGAAGCTGGAAGAATTTTACGGTACATGATAGAAAAAGCCTAGATTTCCTTGAAGAGATGATTGGTAGAAGGATGAACTTGGAAGATGATTCTGGTGAGGGGTCAGAGGAAGTGAAGAGCACAGAAGAGAAAGCTTTCATTGCCTTAGAGAACACACTCGCCCCTTGGTATCCAGGAGGCGTTGGTTCCAGGACCCCTGACCGCCCCCCACCATGGATACCAAAATCCACGAATGCTCAAGTCTCTCATGTACAAAATGGCGACATATTTGCACATAACCTACACATCCTGCTGTATACTTTACATCATCTCTAGATTATTTATAATGCCTAATACAATGTAAATGCTATGTACATGGTTGTTATACTGTATTTTTTTATTTGTACTATTTTTTATTGGGGAAGCAGAATTTATAAGTGATAAATTCAGATATTTAGCCGAGGAGATTTACAAGCCAAGTGTTGAAGGTGTGGCTTGGTTTGTCTTTGCATTCCTAGTAAAATGAGAGAGGAAAGAGAAAAATTGAGGAAGGAACTGTTAAGCCACAAGAAACCAGTACTTTATCATTTGGGAGGTTCTCAGCCTACCCGGTTCACAAGGGATGCTTAAGTCAGGAAATTCAATGTTGGGAGAGTATGCCCTGCAGAGAGGGTCAAGAACGTGGCTGGACAGTGCTTTGCTGGAGAGATTGGGAGTATGACTCATGGAGCCCATCTCAGAAGCAGCCAGAAATAGAGACAGTTATCCAGGAAGGATCTGCAGGGAATCCTCTAATGGCATGGATCCCCCTGAAAGACAGAGGAGATCTACAGGGTTTTTGAGACTGTCACACCAGCAAAACCACTGCCCTCTTACACTAAAAGGGACAGAGATAAGATGAAATGGGGGTGGGGGGAAGCTATCGGACTTCTGGGATTCTACAGGCAGGAAATAAGCTAATAGCTACAAATTCAGCTACAAACACGTGCTGACCTTCAAGAAAAAGGAAGACTGACTCAGAGAGCAAAGCCGTGGGTGCAGAAGCAAAGGCCGGAGAGCAGACCTGGAGGCGGGGGCTGATGGAGGCTCCGTGGACACAGACGGCAGGGGACTGAGCCACAGAGGATTGTTCTAAGGTCTTGAAATGCAATGTGCCCTGCTGGATTTCAAACTTGCTTGGGACTGGTGACCCTTTTATCACTTCCAATTTCTCCTTTTTGGAAGGAACAGGATAGTCATTCCTGTCCCACCATTGTATTTTGGAAGCAGATTAACTTGTTTTCTAGTTTTACAGGTAGAGAAAAATTTTGCCCCAAGATGGATCATACCTAGAGTTTCACATATGCCTGATGGAGATGATTTAGATGATGAGATTTTGGACTTCTAAGCTGATGATATTTAAATGACATTTTAGACTTAGAGTTGATGCTGCCATGGGGTGAGAATTTTGGGAATGTTGGTGTGGGGCAAATATATTTTGCAAATGGAATGGGCATGCAATTTGGGGGCCAGAGGGTGAACTGTAATTGCTGAATGAATAGTACCCACCAAAAGATATGTCTAAGTCCTAACCCCCAATATTTGTGACTATAACCTTATTTGGAAATAGGTCTTTGCAGATGTAATTAAGAATCTTTGGGGGAGGGGGGGTGGATAGAGTGGGGATGGTTAATGGGCACAAAAATATAGTTAGATAGAATGAATATTTGATAGCACAACAAAGTGACTATAATTAACAATAAATCAGGGTATACTTTAAAATAACTAAAAGAATGGAATTGGAATGCTCCTAACACAAAGAAATGTTAAATGCCTGAGGTGATGGACACCCCAATTACCCTGATTTGATTAATTCACATTGTATGCCTGTATGAAAACAAAAATTAAAGAATTTCAAGATGAGATCATCCTGGATTAGGGTGAGCGCTCAGTTCAGGGGCAGGTGTGCTTATGAGAGACAGGAAGGGGCAGACGCAGAGGAGGGTGGAATGTGAGGATGGGGGCAGAGATCTGACTGACACATCCGGAAGTCAAGGAGTGCCAAGAGTCGCCAGGAACGGCCATCGGCTAGGAGAAAGGCACGGAAAATATTCTCCCTCGGAGTCCCCAGAGGAACCAGCCCTGCTGCCTCCTTGATTTGGGACTTCCGGCTTGCACAGGTGTGAGAGAGTTAAGTGTCTATTGTTTTAGGCCCCCAGTGTGTGGTACTTTGTTAACTCCTGGCAGCTAGAAACCTATAATCATACCCTGCCTTGGGTCAGCGTGCGCGACTCTGAACACTGAGTTTTGCCACTCTCCCTCCTCTGCATTCCATCAGTAGCGCGGCAGGATAACTTTGTTCAACGCTCTTCTATATTTATGGTGCACATCTTCCTGGTCCCTGACGTCTCCCTGAAGAACTCCTCCTCCAGTGGGGCTGCTGCCTCTCCTCCCACTTGTTCTACCTTCCTCCCCCAGGCCCCAGCTCCTTGAACAGCAGTGGCAGACGGGCGGACACCCACACAGGCCCTGGGCTCGCCCCAGCGCTCGGAGCCGGCAGTAGGCACTCACCTGGGAGGAAAGCCCATTGCTGAGCCTGTTGGCACTCCTCCTCACCACTGCTGACGGGGCCACTTCTTCATCGGTGGGTGACTTTGTCCGAGGGGGCACGATGCC